CAGATTGTGGGGGCGATATGCTGACTCTGTAAACCGCTTAGAGAGGGCTGAAAGCCCTATGAAGCGGTATATAAGTCTAACTGCTATTGCTATTACTATTAGGAACTACTAAGAAGTATTTGGGGGATTTCCCCCCCCTCAAATCCTAAAAAATCTTACTCACCTGAGTACCCCAAGCCACCAAAGTTACATCGCTTCCATCCTGAAGCACCTCTGCTTGAGACAAAGGGATGGTGTAAGGCTCCACAGGGACTTGTTCCACTAAATAAAAGGAAAACAATGAAGTTTATAATTTGAGTATCTGGAACAGAAATACAGAACTACAACTTCTAGCAGCCCCCGTCAGCATGTATGTAGTTGAAGGATGCTGGCAAAACTTGAAGGGACAGCATGTTCCCCATCCCTGATGCAAGATTTCTAAATTTAGAGCCATAGCGGTAACAGAACTCACGAGAGTTCCATTCTGAAGAATCAGAAATCCAGTGGCAATGTGTGGAGATAAAAAATTAATTCACTTGTGTCAATGGGAAATTTATAATCAGTTGAAGCTATGAGTGCAGAAAATAAAAAATAAAAAATCCCAGATGTAATTTAGGAATTTCCGTTATTATATCAGAAAATTATATCAGAAAACTAGCAGAACAGCATAAGATTTACTGAAAAACTTAACTACAATTAAAAGTTGGATGAAATCCAAGTTTTGGGAGGAAAGGAAGCAATAACTAAAACTCGCTATAAATTTAATAGGCCGATAAGTGCCCTTATAAACCAAAAAAAAAAATCTGTCTGTGTTCACAATTATTCAGATATATTGTAGTAAAAACCAAACAAAATTAAATATAGAAATAATCCAACAAGATCCCATTTTCACAAGCACAAGTGGCCATCTCTAGGACTGTATTTATATTTATTTGTATATGTCTATGTCTATGTATTTGTATTTATAGGACTGTTCAGCCTGAATAACAGGGCGTCACAGTAACAAGAAATTAAGCTATGCATGATATATACTAATATGACAATTTATGAATGGGGGTACAGATCTAACAGCAATGGCAGAAATCCAGCAGCAATGGGGGAACTATCTAACATAGTACCCATCCTGTTCTGATTATTCATATGCTGAACTTTTATGTGCATGCAAGAGATGGATATGTAGTTTCGGAAAAATAAGACACCAACTAACTTTCTTCCTTCACAGAAACAACTGCCTCTTTTTAAAAGCCAGTGCCAACTGTCAATTGAATTGTTTGCTTCCCTTCCTCTCAACCTCATTCTACTATAGAAAAGATATTCCCCCAATCACTTGTTTCTTGGGGTTCACCTACTAAATTTTCTCAGTCAAAACATTTTACGGCAAACTCCTAATCTTTGGAGATGTCTTTCAGGGATGCAATGTTTGGATCAAATTTTCAATGAATCGCCATACTCTTATTTACTATTCAGGAACCAAAACTAGTTTAGCTTAGGGTGAGAGTACAAAATTATTTCAGTTTCCACTCTTCAGAAATCGAGGAAATGGAAAATGAGATTAAAAGATCTTATATTTTATCTAGTACAGTCTACACAGCTTGTGCTTATTCTTTGTATGTCGTAAGAAGTTTGCAAATTGAAGTCTCTGCACTCACAATCTGCATCCTTCTTTCAAGTCAATCTTGGGCTTGGAAGCACATATCCAGTCAGACTTCAAGAAGTCAATTCCCAAATCCCTTGATAGAATTCCCTGATGAGATTATGCCTTATTGCATAATTGTATTTTATGGAAGTACACAAGAGTTGGCACTTAAAACTCCACTTCCTACACTTGTACAATTCATCCACAATTCATTCCTATCTTAATCATACTGAGTTCATGTAGTCTGACGTCACTATGGAGCATACTGATATATCCCAATATTCTAACAGTTCTGCTATTACGGTAAATCCATAGGCAACCTATTTCTTCGTTGTAATTGTCACTCAATCTCTTGATACAGTAAAGCTATAAGAGACAATCTAATAATCTTTAGAAAAGAGCCTCTTTGTATATTGAAGAAAATATTTTGTTTAAAAAATATTAGACAATATATAAGCAACCATTGCAAGATTCTAGTTCTTACTATGAAAAATTGTTACTAAATGCACTAGCTTGTTTGCTCGTTTTAAATTTTTTAGAAAAAGTCAATTTTTTCTAACCTTCACATAATTTACCTTAAGTGTTTTCAATTGTTTTACGCTTGCTATTTTTCTTCAACTTGTTTGCTTTCTATATTTTGTGTATCTTCTATTTAGACTAACATTCTCACTACTTGGAAACATTATAAAGGCTTGCATTTATAATTGTTATTTTCATTCAGGTCTTTAAATATTTTGTGAACACTTAACTATAGATATAAGCTACAGCTACATAGACATAAATTTGGGAAATATAGGAAAGAAAATATTTTATATTTCATTGTATTAATAAATGTTATTATTCAGATACATTAATCTGTATCTGCTCATTCATATACAAGTTTTAATTCTATTAAACCTTAATTGTAGTAGGAAATCACGTGTAGATCTTGTGACAGGATATTTTGAACACTGATTGAAAAACTGGTTGTTTTTAATCTTACTTGCCACATCACTATAACAACCACTGATGCAAATCATTTATTTCTATACTATTTATGTCATATAAGGTGGAATTAAATAGAGCTGAAAAGGTCATAAGAACAAATTCTCCGCAAATTTAAACTTGATAATGTCAAGATGACTCATTTTTTCCTCTAAGTACCGCTATTTGCTTTTGAATCATTGAACAATTCATTTGAAAACCCTTTATTATTTAAAGTTTAATTTCTGAAAAACAACTGTCATGTTTGAGTAGAACAGTTTCTCAATACCCCAAATTTGTGTTATAAATACTAAAATCATAAGAATGTCCTTATAATGTAAATTACCTGTCTTACATAAAGCAGTACTGTTCAAAAATAAAATCCCACAGCTATTTAAAGAGGTCATAAATATATGCACCTTATCATAATTTCTAAATCTCACAAGCTAGGGAAAGAATTTTGGTTGAATGCAGATTCAGCTTAACTCAATTAAACCAACTATAAATTATCAGTTATGACTATATGATCTATTATAACTGGGGGGGGGGGAGGAATTCAGCTTTATTTTCTTGTTTCACTTGACAGCAGTTAGGGATATGTAGAATATTCCAAAAATGAACCTTTTCCATGCACAGAATAGCTATTTTTCGTAGTCACTAACCAAACCAAAATTGGAGTGGAATGGTTTGTTCATGCATTGAACGAAACTATTTTCATTTTGGTAGAAATGGTATGTGGGGGAAAAAAGACAAGGAAAAAAATAACAAAGTCATCAGAAGTTGGGGGGAAACATAGGAGAAAGGGAAGTTGCTTAGAAGGCTGGGGAGTTGGTGGGATATACTGCACTGGATACTGAGCAATTTATGATTGAACTAGATGATATACTGTATAAGGTCTGTTCAACTCATACATGCTATGTTTCTACCATCATGTGAATAAATAAGATGTAGGTTATATTTTTTTACCCTGAATACAATGAGAAAAACTTACCTGCTGCTCTATACATTATTTTAGGTTCAAAGAATATGCAAGGGTTTTTATCTTCTATACATGACAATAACAGTCCCTTGGCTTCAATAGGTCCTCTTGGAATAACAATCTTCAAGAAAATGAACACATAAACAAGTTAGGGAGTATCTTGACTAGGAAAAATATCAAAAGTAAAAAATAAACATTGTTCCAAGAGATAATTTCCTATTTCAAATTATCCCATTAAGACTCAGTGAAAAGATGCTAAATGAATGGCAAGGACAAATAAATTTATCTGGTTAAATAAATGACCAGGCATTAAAGAGTTTTTAAACTGAGTAAGAAAAAGGGAGATTGGTGGCACCAAGTTATACTATCAGGGTAATTATTCAACCTGGATTACCGACTCAATTAGCACTATACACATGGATTGCATCTATGGAAGAAGTAGTATGTGCATATCTATTTATCAATCTCTATCTCTCTATTTACCTATCATATCAATCAGATCCTATTAAAATATGATTAAGAGACCAAACATGTCAATGTCTGTATGATTAAATAGATGTAGAATTTAAGCAGATAACTGGCATGCAAAAATGGGAATATCAATGAAACTGAATATCAACTTTTGGGTGAATAATAGAGAGAATGGGTACAAAATGTTCTATTGTTCCAATGATGATTATTAAAATAGATAAATATTGAAATACAAAATGTAGATGTAAAATGTACATGTAAAAATGTAAAAATGAAAATGGAATCATAAATCGTATCTGGTGGCAAAGTCAAAAAAACTCAGTTGCACTGATAAACAAAACTACTATCGGATGAAACAAGTTTTAAATGTTGGTTTTCCTTTTCCATCAGTCATTTTTTTTCATTATTAGCATTTCATTTTCATTTCATTTTCCCTTTATTTGTATGCCGCCCTTTTCCCTGGGGGGACTCAGAGCGGCTCACAGTTCAAAAAAGGGGGGGGCAAACATTATATACTTTCAAAATACACTTTTATATATGAAAACTGGTATCAGAATACTTTATACTTCTCACTGGAAATCACGTCTACTCTTTCATTAGAGGAATGGCAGCTGAAACTAAGGGAACACTAATCAATATGAAAAATAACTACATATATGAAAAAAAGACCCAAGTGTGATCATAATTTAAATTTAACCCAGAAATCATTTATGAATAATTCTGTACATAGCTTGCTACCACATCCAAGATTTGAGTTTCCTTAAAATAAGATTTTTAATCTCTTTAACCAGGGTCCATCACTACTTAGCTATGCTTTAACATAATTCAAAAAAATAGCTTTGAAGATGTTAAACTGACACAAAATTATATTTGTTGTAATCCAAGTTGATATATAAGTATAAAACAAGAGATTGGTTTTTCTTCCAAGGGGATTATTTTATAAATACATAGGTTTAACTTTACCTTGTGGTGCATTATTCTGCTAATTTTCCTGCATAATATTTGTATTCTATAATTTCCTTGTTTTTAATATAAAAACTTTTTATATGTAACCTTTTATATTTAAAAATAATTATTTGAACACTCTAAAAGACTATCTAATAAATGATTACTCTGTACCTTCAGTCCTGGACAGTGAGCAAAAAAGGATTCTGGGGACTGCGAGTGATACAATGCCCCATGACCCACACAACCCCAAGGCGCTCTTATTGTAAGGCTTCCACAGTTAAAGAGATCTCCAGAACGGTATCGATACTTTGCCGCCTCATTAACAATCTGAAGAAATATAGAGATACATTTAACATTACATGTGGTTATCAAGACATATTTATGCAGTTAAAGCACATTTATGTTCTACTAGAACCGTAGTGGCACAGTGGTTAGAATACAATACGTCAGGCTACTTCTGCTGACTTCGGGAGTTCGAGTCTCACCGGCTCCAGGTTGACTCAGCCTTCCATCCTTCCAAGACCAGTAAAATGAGGACCCGGCTTGTTGAGTGGCAATAGCCAACTCTGTAAACTGCTTAGGCTGTAAAGCACTATGAAGTGGTATATAAATCTAAGTGCTATTGCTATTATAGCTTAGGGAGAAATAAGGGGCAAATTTTGAAATTATGGATACTATCAACAAAAGTGTAAAGAAACTAATATGAAGCAAGAGCATAATGTGCACAGCTTGGAGTTGTACAAAATGAAAGAAGGAAATCAAAATAACGATAATAATATGCAAATTAGAACCTTACATGGAAAAAAAGATGCCAGATGTACAAACTAGCTGTAGAAAAGAAACACAAGCCATGATTTCTGGTGCAATCTGGATAATTGAGAAAGCCAAAGAATACCAGAAAAGATGTCATTGCTTCCTTGATTACAGAAAGTCCTTTAATTGTGTTGATAACATCAAGCTGTGGAATGTAGTTAGAAAAATGGAAATCCCAGAGCATCTCATTGTCCACAATTCTGACAGCCAAAAATACAAAGGATTTGCAAGAAACATGATAGTGAAAAAAATAGTACTAAAATTAAATATAAAGAAGACCAAGCTAACAACAACTGGTAGAACAACCAGGATTGACAACAAAGATACTGAAGTGGAAGATAGTTGTTGTCTTTTAGGATTAATCATCCCTGAAAAGGAACAAGCAGTCAAGAAAAACACTGCTGACAATTATTTCACACCACAACCATGAAGGCCTTGGAAAAGATATTCAGATACCATGATGTGTTTAAATATTGTCCCCACCACCACCCTTCAGTGGGACCCATCTATCAGGGAAACCTGGTCAATCCAATTATGAGACGGAACATACTGCTTCTGTTTTTCACCTTTCTGCCTTAATCCAGGCAGTCGATTTTGCAACAAACAATTTTTGTGTTAAATTTATATTTTACCTACAAAGAAATAAAGGGAGACTAGTATAGATCAATTTCAAGCTATTTAGCTCTCATCACAAAAAAATCAACACTTAATCTCTCCCCTGGTACAATTGACAAAACAAGGAGAACCCATGGCTTAGAGGTTAATACATCTACCTAATATGCAAGCAGTCAGGGTTTGAATCCCAGAAGGATATAGTTAGCTGATGAGGGCTAAATAGTTTCTATATTAGTCTCCCTTTATTTATTTATCAGTAAAACATAAATTTAACACATGATATGTTTATATTTACAAAGACAAGAAATGTTGAAGTCATAGTATTCCTTATGATACACTATGGAATCAAAAGTTGGACTTTAAGAAAGCAGGATCGGAAAAATATTGAAGTTTTTAACTTGAATGCTCAAGAAGACTCTTGAGAATAGCATATTTATTATAAGTCATCCAGAGTCATTTGGTTGAGTTGGATGACTACAGAAACTGAATAAATAAATAAAAAATAAACATAAGAACAACATATCATGAATTACCATGAAATACGTTATCATGAACAAAATGGTAAGATAAAAACAAATAAATAAGATTAAAACAAATAAAAACTAGACCAAAGCAATCCACTCAAGGAACACATAACCAAGCTCACATACAGGTAGTCCTTGACTTACATCATCTTATTTAATGACTGCTGGAAGTTACAATGGCACTGGAAAAAGAGACATGAACGTTTTTAACTCTTACGACCATGGTGATTTACATTCAGATGCTTGACAAATGACTCACATTTATGACACTTGCAGTGTCCCGGAATCATATGTTGCTCTTTTGCAACTTTATTTATTTATTTATTTATTTATTTATTTATTTATTTATTTATTTATTTATTTATTT